CCCCCCCCCTCCCCGCTTTTTGTACCGCACCGCCTTCTACGACCCGATTAACATGTTTTCTTTTGACGGACGAGTTGGAGAGGTTCGAGGCTTGTAGTGCCGCTGGGCGCATGCGCGCGTTCGTCAAAACGAAAGTGTGTAAATCGAGTTCAATTGGAGCTTCGGTCCAACGGCCTGCGCTCGCAGTGGAATTTGTGGTGGAGAGCAGTTTGTGGCTCGTTTTCCCGTGCCAATCATTTCACTACTTCCTTCACCTACACTCTCGTCACTACGGAACGGATTTCTGTGATTTTGCATATTTTAGTCCGTGCCTTCAGGTCATAGCTAAGTCAAATTTCTTGACGTTTGGTTAGAATTGGTTAGAATTAGAATTTAGATTAATGTTAATGTATATTTGTCTCATTTTTCATGTACGTGCACGTTTCGTTAAAATAGTTATATCTAAAGCGTTCCTTCTTTTCATAGAATCTACTTATTTGTGAGCGTTCACTGATTATAGAAAAAGCTCGTCACAGTTTGCGTTTTTTCTTCTTCCTTATAGGCGAAAAAGTACTTGTGCAAGTGAACGATATTTCCTTGATATGTGCATTTTAATAACCACGTAGAAGAAATGCACTAAGGCGTACAAGGTATAGGGTGAAAATTTACTTTCATTATTTCTCCCGCGAGGTAAGGGCTGTATTATGTTCCCACAAAAATGTATCTTTTCATTCGAAGTATGCTTCTCCCGAATTTTGTCAAGAAATGTTGATAATCGAAATGAAATATTGTTAATTTTAATTGAATATTTAAAAAACATATTTAAGAATATTTAAGTCATAAATGCATACGTTTAAAAGCACATTTCAATATTTCGGGGGCATAAAAATCGACTAATCATCATTCCATCGCAAACCAAATGCTTCACGGGTGACATCTGACGAAGGCCTTTTTGAAATTTTTGGCTTCAGAACTACGACCACTCTTCCTAAAATTTTTGTACCTTACAATAAATGTGGAAATAATGCATAAATAAAGTACTGGCGTCTAAAATCTTTTGTGCTCCTTCGGCAACAAATAGCAAAATTGCATTTCGGCATCTTGAGCAGTACGACAAACACATTTCGATGTCTTTAACGATATAACAAAAATATGGGGTGATAGTTGTTGTTGAATCATCCTTTAACGGAGACCTAACTGGTAGAAATGTCTGGTTCAGCATAAGCAGACAACGAATATCCGAAATATTTGTTTACCTACACAATGCGGTAAGTCACATCCTCAAACCCCCCGGTACTGTTCTGACGTTCCTTTATGCCGCTTACAGCGTTGTGACGATGGTCGTGGTTGGGATCCGGCCGGTTCTGGAAGAAAAAAAACCTGCTGTCCTCAAGGATGTTATATAACCTACGTTGAGCACGAAAGCTAGAGTTTCTTTTTAACCTGCCGGTTCGGCATATGAAACGAGTCTGACAAGTTTGAGATGAATTATAAAATACATTTTTCTTCATAATATCCGTGGGAAACTGCATACACTTAAACTATGTTTTTTCCATTATGCTTAGTAGTTGCATTTGCATACAATGATAAAGAGGAAAATTATTGTAGACACAAGGATATACAACACTAAAAGATACGAGACATGGTATGCGACTCTGTGTCTGTGGAATCTCTACTTGAGTACGATAAAGTTTGGACAGAATTTGGAAAACAGAAAAATGCACATTGGCAATAGGCAGGTCCAACGCTCAGATAATTCAAAGTATGTTTTTTTAGTGGGAACAATTTGCAAGACGATCTCTGAAAAGATAAGATTTAAAAAAATGTCTGACGATCTGTAGGTCCAAAAATGCATGGGTTGACTGATAAAGAGTGGTAATGTTAGAAGAGTCTTCTCTGAAATCCGAATTAGACTTTATTGGTAATAATGGCGTGTCCACTCCAGTTATGACAAACATTCAAAGTAGAGCGAATGCATGTAGTAGAGGGCAGGGCTGCGATTCCATAATCTAATCTGTGACAGGTTGACACGGTCATCAATTTACGCAGGCCAGACTTCGATTTAAACTTTAATTTGTTCCTTATCCTCTTAGGATTGCATGCAGTGTGTTCCTACTGAAAGCATAACTAGTGCTCAAGATTTGACGGGTTTCGGGGCTACTAATTAATATTTACTAAGCTGCTTTAGCTAATTGTAAGAAAAAAGCATATGCACGTGTAGAGATTACTCATTTACAATTCCGATTCATCTTTTTTCTATCGCATATATTTCCCGTGATAATTATCTGCAATGCCAACTACACAGCAAGAAACCAGTCACTTGCTTGAAATTCCTTTCGATTAATTGTTTTGCTTTTCCGAGCACGTCAGCAACTATGGTCATTAGTCACTTAAGTGTCTTTTATCCCTGGAGGAGGCGGTGACATCCGGGTGACAGCTGTGACAGCTGAGTGGTGACATCCGGGACAGACCTAAGCGCCGACTTGGATTTCCCTAACCAGGTATCTCCCACTAGCGGGGCACCGCCCCAGCCGGGACAAGCTCTAAGCTCCCGACCGGTCTCCCAGCATGTGTGGTAGTGTCGAGCTTTTAACTGTAAGTAAGGGGTGAGGATATGACAAGGTAGAGGAAGGAAAGATCGCGCGCGGTCGGTGGCCCGCGTGTTAGGGTACTGCTTCGGCATTCGCCTGGTGTTGATCGGAGCAACCACGGAAAACTACCGTTCAAAGCAGCTGGCATCTAGAATTCTCCTCCAGACAGCGGCTGAATCCGACCTAACTGACAAGCTAGTGCCGACAATTCTGCCACCGACGGGACTCGAACATAGGACCACCCGGTCAGAGGACATTCTGAGCGGAGTAAAACCCCACAAACCGACATGTAGGTCGGCGCCGGATCTCGCCAGCCAGCACGAGAAGACACGACTGAAGCATGCACTACACTTACGGGACTAATGCTCTTATCAGTTTACACCTCCGGAATCATTAATTCATGAATCATTAATTAATTGACGCCCTGAGCCGTCTCCCCCGGTGTGAGGGTAGTGCAAGGAATGGGGCGAGGAAATGAGACACGCGTTGCGTTCGTCAGGGAAAGTGCAAAGACGAACGGGATGACGTAACGGGCGGAGGGCAGCGGCTGCAGCTGCGAACGGCTTCGCCCGGCGCCGCTCTAAGGCAGCGCGTTAGGCCCCGCGCAGTGGGTGGCGGTGGCGGTGGCGCGTGCGGTGGTCGAGCGGTGGTATCGATCGCGAGGCGAGGGGCGACCACTTGACTCGCTCCGACCTGT